TCATCTGTTTGGTTTTCTAATTTTACGCCCTAATTCGATTTTATTTTCTGTTGCTACTATCTGAAACAGAGAAATAGATCTTTTTAATGGCAGCAAACGTGTCCACGTAGGAGCATGAAAGAGCAAAGTGACCATACATTAGTCTCTATATATTTCAAATGTGGGCACAGACCAGACCACATTGCTCTGATTTTAACCACAAATATCACAATCATAGTCACACAAATCCGTACGGACGGTGCGTTTGTCTTTACATTCTTGAACTCGGAGAGTTGAAACTTTCAAATCAACATTTCTCTTCCCTAATAATCTACTCATTAGGTACCAACAATTTGAACATAAATAATTGCTAGGTTTAATGGTTAAATTTTTCTTATTCGGTTTAATTTCACATTTATCTTAATATCACATTACGAAAATTTAAAATTTAATTTTATAAAATTAGTTTATTGTAATGATATTTACATATATTTATATATTATAATTTGATAATATTTCTAATTATATAAGTTTTCAAGGTATTTCATTCAAACAAAAAATATGACACGTGAAAATAAATGAATTATGATAACTTTCACTAAGGTAAATTTTTAATGATTATGATCTCAAATGATTTACATATAATTTCATAGTAAAACAATAAAATTTAAGTTTAATTCAATTACATAAAATTGATTAATCAAAATAAAGTTTACATTTAATTATATAGTATAATTTTACTTTATTTATAATTGAGATGAGATCTAACATTTTTATCAAACTTAAAACTTTTATTATCTCAAGTTGAGTGGATTTGAGATTTTTAGTTCTTTAATTATCTATGCAAAAACATACTTTAACATTATTTTCTTTAGAAATCCATAATATCGTTTCAAATACATATATATTTTAAAAGTTAAACCATTAGTTTTTATCATGAGAACGTGTAAATATATATAATGTTTCAAGTATTAAAATTTAAAATATAAAAAAGTTTAACTCGAAATTGATGTCAAATGCAACACGTTTAATGATTTTTTATTTCAAGTAATCCACGTTGTAATATAGAGAATAACATTTTCAGGAATATTACGACCACACAAATGTTATTTTCTAAACATGTTTAAAAATAAGTTTGGTTAACTTTGGATATTATTGGAGATATTTTAAAAATTTGAAAATAATTAAAAATTTGTGGTTATGATGGAGTTAAAAATAACACCTTTTTTCTTTTCGCGGTGAATTTAAGTTTAATTTGATTATACAAAATAAATTCAGTAATTTAAGATGTGTGTTTAATCATATATTATAAATTAATTTTATTAATTTTTATAAATTCAAATTTTTTAAAACATAAAAAATAAGAGAGATTTTCTATTTTTGGGTAAGTCTCTTAGTAAAAATTTTCTTATATACATGTCATTTAACTTTTAACCATTCATTTATCTTTAAATTCTTTTGAAACTTTCTCGTTTTAGTGAATTTTCATTGCTTGAACAAGAGAGACTGAGAGAACAAACCTCCTTCTCTAGACAATGTTCACTTAAGAGAACCCTTAATTACCAAAATTTTACACAAATAAGGATTATACAATTAATAAACCAAGTCTGATATTATAACATTAACATTATAGGAAAAGGTTAATTTTTACTAATATTATTTTTTCTACAGTCACAAATGTTAGTACTTGATAGAAGATGCTTAATACGTGTTCTTTTAAGAGATTGATTGTGACAAATTACATTGAATGATTAAGATATGATTTAACCATTCATAAATCTTGAATAAAAGTAATTTAATATATTAGTTTGTAATGTAAAAACGCCTTAAATGTTTTAGATATAATATTATATATTACATAGCTATAAAATATGTTTATTATGCTAATTCACTTTCATGCACCGCAGGGATGACATAATATTATGATTATAGGATAATATAACTCTTCAAATAGGTAATAAGGATAATAAGGGTATAAGATAAAGTTAATAATAATTTCTTCACAATTTATATTATATTTTTTTTTCAAACTTTTAAACTCATAATTATGATGACGTGTAATGTTGACGGTGTTAACTTTTAAAACATATAATTATGTCACATCTGGATTATATATCTTTCTTTATCTAATCTAACTTTAGATGTCATTTGAATGTCCTTTCAATAAGCATATCCAGACACCGGAATCCATGCCTCAGGATATGGTACAATCAAACTGTATGTATTAAATTTGGACAATCATACTTTTTTAATATATTTTTTTTTTACAATATTTTAATATTATTGTGTTATGTGATTAATTCAAAATTATTTTATAATAAATAATAATAATTATGAACACTAATATAGAGTTGTCAATTTGACCCATGATCCTGGGACTAGCTCTAATTTGACTAGTCAATTTGGTCTTCCTTACATGATTTGGTCTTAACCCACGTGGGTTGGGGCCAAAAATATCTACAGAACCAAAAAATCTCTCGTAGAAAAAGTCCACGGGGCCAAAATATCTTCAAAAGCCCTCTGGGCCAGGGCCAACCCATGAGCCTTTTTTTAGAAAAAATGTTCATTTTGAATACAAGAAAAAATATAATTAACTCCTAATTTGTTACAAAAATAGTTACTATAGAAAATAAATTGAAATTTTTATAGGAGGAGAGTTCTAGAGCTGTCAATTTGACCCATGACCTCGGGACTAACCCTAACTCACTCTTCAAAAAGCCTATTCTTAAGAAGTCCCTCAAATGGGGGCCAAAAAAAAGTCCTAACCCCAAAGCCCCCTCTCAAGGGGGTTAGGGTCAGGGTTAAGGTGGGTTTAGTCCCACTAAAATATTTTTGGAAACTAAACTTCAACATTTTCATAATAACTATTAAAAGTACTAAATTTTATATTCATGTAATTGATTTTTTATTTCAAATTATTAAATAAAACTAATTAATTATAGTTTAATAGAATATTTAATATTCAAAATAACTACTTTTTTAAATAATTAAAAACAATTGCAAACCACACACTTGATTTTATACAACTAAATAGTATTACAAATTTATTTTACTAAAATATTATAAAAATACTTTATTTTGTTGTCAATTTTAATACGATTGTCTTATATTGCAGATACAATTATTAGAAAATTATATATAATTCTCATCCTATAATTTTTCAAGAGTATACTAACATGGACCAAACCATGTAAGGGGTCAAATTGGACCAATCATAAAATGACACGTATATTGTATTAAAATATTGTCAAAAAAATATTATCAAAGTATCATTATCCATTAAAATTTCATAGAATAACTACATATTAACTTAATTTTATAAAAAATAATTATAGTCATTAATTTATTTTGAAAAACTTATACACCACCACCAGCATTATTTAGATACCAGTGTTAGAAAGAGACTTATGGTTGAAGTAATTCTTTCAAGATAGCTGTGACATATATATGAGTCCAAACACTATAAATATAAAAGTTACCACTTGCTATCGGATTAAATATGTTAAATATTATGATTAATGTTTCTTTGATGAATGCGAAATTGTTAGTATAGATATTATAGGCTTAAATATAAGAAAATGTTAACCATTTAAAAAAAATATTTTATTAATATTTTTAATGCAAATATCTTTATATTGTTAAATTAAAAACGAACGTAGATATTTGGATCATAATATTATACCTAGTTATTTTAAGTTTACGATAATTTTTTTGTTTTTACTGTTATATTGGTTAACTCTATATAAGAGTTATCTATCTCTTGTATTATTGTTGTTATATGATCAATAATACAAAAATATAATTTGTGTCTATACTTTTGTGAGATAACCTTTCGTTTTTTACAAATATTGAACTAAAGAAATTTGGGTTATATGTATGGTAAGTATCTATTATTTGATGTGTTTAATTTATGTAATTATAGAAAGGGAAGTCAAATTTCTTCTTAATCTCGATAACAAATTCTTATACCTTTAATTGGTGAATCTAACAAAGGAGCTGGTTTGCCCGAGAGGTTAAGGGGGAAGACTTAAGATCTTCTGCAGTCAACTGCGCATGGGTTCGAACCCCATAGCCAGCATTATTTTAATTTTACAGAAATTAATATTCAAAATGATTCAAATGTCTAACAATATTATATAATAATCACTCAATTAACAAGAGTTAAAGTAATTTAATTAACCAAGTCAACCTGAAATAAAGAAAATATTTAATTAACATATACTTGTTATTTATATTGATTTATTATGGCTATTTAATTATGTTTTATAAAATTTAGTCAACATGCTTTTACCTTTACGAAGTGAAAATAAACCCCTGAAAAAAAAATATAAAAGAAATGAAGTGCGAAATACAGAAAGTAACTAAAATTAAATTTAGTTTCAATTCCACTTTACTGTTTTAAAATGATTGTATTGCAATAGGACACTTTTTTAAGAAAATAAAAGAAAGAGTAAGCCATAAGATAAAGTGAAGAATGGAATGAATTTTTTGTTCATTATTTGTGTTTTATTTATTTTTCTTTATTTCATTAAAATTGTTTTGATAGATCGAATTAGTATTTATATAAAGCAAAAAAAAAAAAGAGATAACGAATGAGGCACTTAAATGAAGTTTTTTAAATACAGAGACCAAGTTTTAAAAAAACATAAATAAACGAGGAATTAATATTTTATTTTAACCTTGTTTATGCATTTAAAACACATATTTACTAACATTTAACTTTACAAGATTAAAATATAATGAGCAAATATGTTTGAAAGAGTCATAATGATATAAATTTTATAAATGTAATATTCATTTGATATATACTTAATATAAAATGATAATAAGATGAATAAACATACATTACGATTTTGTGGTTTTTATCGTATTTCCTCAAATTCTAAATAACAGAACTTCAAACAACACATGTCCTTAAAAAACAAGTTATTAAAAAAATAATTAAAAGACAGAAAGATTATCACCAAGATAATTTTATTTATTTTAAATTTTTTATAAAAGTTTATTCTTTCACAAAATGAAAATAACCTCTAAGAAAAAATAAGGGAAGCCGTGAAGTAAAGAAAAGAACTAAAGACTAACAGAACCAAAAGGGTACTCTTCCGGCGAAGAATCACGACTTTGTCACCGTAAACTCTAACGCTCACATCTCTTCTTCCACCGGAACTCGCAACTTCGATTCGGGTAATTGATTGATTCGTTTTGTTCTTTCTCTGCTTTTAATTCAAATAACTGGTTTTTCGCTATTTACGCTGCTTCACCGTTTTTTCCATCTATAAACTCATCTTACGTAGATCCATGTTCGATTCAGCTTTGGCCTATTGTATCCTAAATTCGCAATCTCACAATCCTTTAGCTATTAAGGATCTACTCGTTTCGTCATTGTTGTTCTTATTTTTAGGGTTGGCTTTTTAATCGTGTTTCGTGATTGAACTTGATTTAGACACTGTTCAGTTACTTGCACTATTGCATATTGTTTTGGATGAGAGGCCTAAAGTGATTGTTGATGGAATCTTTTGCAGGGAGGGAAGACGGTGAAGATTGGTAAATTCTAAGAATCGTTGAGATGGTGAGGAAACTGAAAGTTTTGAATCGTTGTGATTTAATCCGTTGATGTTTGCTCATTGCGTTTGACATCCGTTGTGTTGTGTTTCAGTCAGCACTTTTCAATTTCCACTCATTTCTAACTGTGATACTTCTGGGGATATGTGCCTGCACTTATTTCAAGATGCAGTTTCCGGCAATCCTAGATCAGAAAACTGGGTATATATATCTCTTCATCTCTTGCCATGAGTAAAGTTGACAATCCTAGGTCATGCATATACAATTTATGCGTATGTTGACAATGCTTCATTCGAGTAGCATAGCTGTGTAACAGAGTAGGTCTTATTTTCAATATTGGTTTTGGTGCACTGTTGTTTCTGGTGAGCAATACCATCATTTGCCATGTTGTTGTGCATGTTTGGATTGAAGACAATAAAGGGAGATGAAGGGAAGGGAAACGAAATAAAAGTTTACCTCGAAATTTCCTCTTGTTTGGGAAATGAAAATCCTTGTCATTGCTAATTTTTATGAACCTTTTAATGTTCCTCCATAAGTAATTTTGAACATCCAAACAAAGGGATGGAAAATTTCTTGTTAACCTCTCCGTTCCTTTTTATTATCAAGTGTTCTGGTAATTTGTACATCTGAATTTTACATGTTCAAAATTCAATGTATCATAAGGTTTTTGTTCCATTAGACGTGCAGCTTGCAATAGTTTTTTTCATTCTTCATATCAGATTTTTAGAACTTGCTGACAAGACATACATGCTCTTCCTGACAGATTTCGTGGTTTCTTCTGGAAGGCGGCGAGAATAGGTAGATATCCCTTGTTTGATATGCTTCTACATTGTTATTGTTTACATATGCTTTTGAATGCACTTTTAAATCTCTTTTTTTTTTTTTTATTTAAGCTTTGGAAAAGTAAGAATAGAACCCTAGAAATTTTGGTTTGATATCTTCTATGATGATTTTTTGCTTTTCCCCCATATAATACCTTAACGGCATCAGATTTTTCAAGTTAAAATATTGAATTAATTATCTTGAACCAAAGAACACACGTGTGTTGATTGATGACTTGCCCACTGGCAGCGGAAAACTTGGGGTAAAGGATGAGTGATGCAAATATAGAAAATTTGGGTTACGGTTCTATCCTCACTTTACGTGTATACTACATCGTGATTATGCCTTTTACATTCTCAACCTTTTTTGTAAGTATGCTTCATTGTATTTCATTTTTTTTATCAATCCTTTAGTTATAATGAAACTACTTTCTCAATTCTTATTTCAAAATTCATCATTTTGATTGATGGTACTTGTAATTTTCATAAATCTTCTTTTGGTTGTTATTGAAAACTCATTCTCAATAGTTCTAGATCCTCGATTCCTTGTGAGCTTTAAGATGCTATATTACAGTGTCATACCAAAGCTGTTTGTGACATGGGCTACTAGATTTCTAGCTTGGCCATGTAGTTCTTGAATTTGTTGCTTCACATCTAATCCTGTACCAGCATGTTTGGTACGTTGTGGAATAAATACAAAGCAAGTGAGAACAAAAATATATTCAAATCAGTTTCTCATTATGACCTACTGGGGAATTTTTATTCCTTGTGTTGTCTACATGTAACACTTTCTGTCTAGGTGTATGTCTCATTTAGAATTATATATTTCATGAGATGTGGAATTTAATCACTGATATTATCTTGATCGTACACGTGGTTGCTAATACAGGTGAACGGTTAAGCCCGTGGGTAGCTGCGGGTTGCTTTATGATGGGTGTTTCAATAATCTTCTTCTAAGCTTTGGTTACTCAATAGTAAGTTATTATTCTTTTTCATGTGCCCAAATATGATAGCTGTCAGAAGCTAATGATAAGGAATAAATATGCGTAATGACTAATTTTCTGGCGTACATAAAATATTAAGAACAGTTTCTAAGCCGTCTATAGGAATGCACCTCCTTTCATATATGTCAACAATAATTTTGAAATTTGATGCATTGCAGGGGCGTCCATTCTATACCGCAGTTTTATGCGCAAATTGCAGATCTACGAAATGAGAGTTTGTACTTACGATTTCATCGGAGCCCTTGACACAAATTTGTTCCACCATATTGTTAATTATTTTTTCTTTGTTGTTGAAATTAAGTGGAGTTTTTGCCATTAATCCCCAGGGTAACGTCATTACATGAAATTCAAATTGCTACTTATGATGGGGGATCGTGCTAATGTCCATAGCTTTGTCCAAATTTTATGAGCATGATGCCTTCGAATCTGAACTAAGCTGCTAATATACTAACTATATAGATTAATCATATAGCAGCTGGCGTGAATACTTTTAATGATGAATAGTTGAATATTTCCAACAGAACTTGAAATGATGGTGCATTATCTTCTTTCGGAAATTCTAGAAATTAGAAAAAAATTGTAGTCGTTTCGAAGATTCTAAATTAAGAATGATTAGTGTCGGAACTTACATTTTAACTAAAAATTTAGAAGGTTTTAAGAATATAGTTTGATTAGGCTTGATAAATATTATAATCAAAGAATGTTTCATAATCTGGATCAACTCAAATGTAACTTTATTGTTATAACGACAGGTAAAAGTTTCACTGTAAATCATTACTAACTGTACTTTTTTAGAAAAATATATTTTCAGAAATGTCATTTCGAAAATCATGTTTTATTAATTTCAGAAAGTTTATTCTAGAAAATTTCCAAAACAAGTAATCTGAAAATCACTTTCATGAAAAATAAAATAGTCTTGAAAAAAATTATGGGAGTGCAGGAAGGAAAGCCCAATCAATTTGGATAACGTTTTCTCTGCCAATGGGAAGTTCCATCAGCAGCGGAAGGAGTACATTATATTTTAATGAGCTCTCATTACATTAGTTCCCACTAGCTACCAAATCATGATACACTAGAAAAAATATATAATAAAATGTGAATACAGCGCAAGAATGTTCTAGGTTTTCTAGACAAAATTCAAATTAAATTCTCATTTTCAATTCTTCCTGTGTCATCAGTGATCATAATCTCCATATTCCGTATATCTCGTTTCAGAACACCGCCAAGTCTTGCAATGGCCTCCATTTGCTGTTGTAAAACCTGTTCGCACAAAATAGGGCATTATTATATTATTCTTTGAATGTATCATGCGCATTATCTCATACAAATAATACCTTTTAAAAAAAATAAAAAAGGAAAATCAACAATCAAGATGTTAAATAATAATCTATCTCAAATTGGTTCCATCTCACCTCGTGTAGGTCAGCAAGACTTTGATCATGAATTTTGGTTGAACCTGGAAGGTAAACGGAGCCACCAAATCCATTGCTATTAGCTTTAACACGAGATACAGTCAGTAGATTTTGTACCCTTCTAGACAGTTCCGCTCCAGATCCTTTAAGCTGAGAACATATTTCCCTATAAGTTCCATCTCCAGCAACAGAGCAAAAGGGCAGAAAATGGTCTTGGATAGAAGTTTTACCTGTCTAGTTATTGTGGCTAATTTCTCAGCAAGTTCAGCTTCCCCTTTCGTTAAGGGTATGCGGCAGCCTTTTCCCTCCAATGCCTCCACTACTCTCATTACCTTGAAACACAAGATAAGATATACTTAAGCAACAAATAAAAATCCAAAGCTCGAGATAAGCTAATTCATCAATTTACTTTCAGAATATAGATCCTACTGTCGGGGCTTATGATTGGAGGGGAACACTAAGACAAATTAAGAAATGTAAAAACTTTATATAACTGCTTATTAAAGTAGCTAATTCTGTGCAGGGAGAATCAATTCATTCTACAATCGGGAAAACAGTTTCATTCACAAACACATAGGAGTTGTCCCTACTCTTAAAAGACGTTGCTGGAGAATTTGTTCCTTTTGTTTTAGTCTTTGAATCCATGGAAGAGTATCAGCCTGAAAATGTCTTTGGAGCTGCAACAGCATCAAACAAATGGAAAGAAAAATCAACAATGCATGGTAGAAAAACCAGAATCACATTACCACTGCTCCGAGTTCAAGCAAAGGGGAGAGCAGTACCATTTTAACATTGCTTTGGGTTATACGCAATCTCTCTGCATCAGAAACAATGACTTCATCTTGTATCTACATGACAATGTCAGCAAAAATGTATCCTCAAGGCTTAGATTATATCCAATCCAGGTAATTCAACAACTTTTATATCAAATATTGAACTATTCTCCCTTTTTCACATCAAATACTGACTGGTGGATACATCTAAAAATTCAATACTCAAAGCATCACTTAATAATGTCTACAAAAAATGTTTGACACATTTGATTAAGAAACACTGTTTTCTTTCTCAAGATCTTGGTCCTCAGCTAATCTTATAAACAACTTTTGCATATATAACGATATTCACTTGCCAGGTATCATCAATGCTAATGATGTGGACTAAACTTTAAAATTGATAATCATTTACACGGGATATCTAAACACTGAATAACAGAAACTGGCCAAAAAGTCCAAGATAAACCTTGATTTTCTCAAAAGATCATATATTTAAGTTACTGGTACAATTCTAGAGGTTAACCTATCAAAATCTACACATTTCTAGAGTATACAATCGCTAGAAGTTTATGTTTTGTTTGGATACCGAATGGCAACCGAAGTGGAACTAAATAAATAAAATGAAATAAATTTGTCATTAGTGTTTCGATATTATACAGTGGGATGGAAGAAAGTTATCATTTAATTGTTTGGGAAGTGTGAAAATTGTGTAAGGAGATCAGGAAACAAGTTTAATCCCACACCCCAAAATTGGAAGGATTAAAACCAGGCATTGGATGGAATGAATAGGAACTTGGTATAGCTTCGAAGTTTAAACAATTCAAACAACTGCAATTAATGTCGTGTCATTCCACTTTCCATTATATTCCTTTCTATCAATTCAATTCAAACACAGCTTAATAAAGCTTACCTTAAGGCGTTGCGAAAGATCCTTAAAACCCTGGACAAGCTGTGGCCACAGACGTTCTCTATCTGCACTGTCCATACCTTCAAGCTTCCCCATTGCCTCCGCCCACATGATCTAGCAACCATAAACTATTCCCATAATTAGCCAGTTCTGGAAAATGGTAAAAGAATCTCCCAACTATAAATAGTTTACTAGAAAAAGAAAAAACAAAAAAAACTTACGTCTGATACACCAGCAGGCTTCACTCTAAACTGTGGTTCTGTTACACTGAACAACAAATGCTGAACAACACAAAAACACAAATGTGAGAAAAAAAAATGAAGACCCACAAGTGCAATTCTAACATTCACCACAAGGAATCAGAAAATATCACTGATAATGTAGACTTGGATTTGAACCCTAATTTCAAAATTAAGAAGAAAAAAAAAAGGCGCATAGCATGAAATACAAACCCAAGTATACCTTAACTATGCTCATTGCACAAACGAGGCAAACACTAAACACAATAACTTGACAAAGGAGACATTTTTGTATTTATTTATTTTAATTAGACAGTGAGGAGGATACCTTGAAAGCGTACTTGGGGTTTCCAGGATCTTCCTTGTAAGCATCAACGATTGTCTGGTGGCACAACATGCGAACACAAAATTAATCAACGAAACAATGCAATAGCGAGAATTCGAAAACTGGATTGTGGAAGAAAAAAGAAAAAAGATACTTGAACATCGCGATCGGCGAGAGAGAAAGGAACAGGTGCCACGTTAGCCATCTGAGTGGTTAATTGCGCATTTGAGAAAGGCGAGGGTTGCGGCGCTGCGAGGGAACTTTGAAAGCCGAAAGGAGAAGAAGTTGGTTGTTGTTGAAACAGTGGAGTTAGTTGTTGCTGCTGCTGCTGTTGTGGTTGAGAAGAAAAAGGCGTTGACAAAAGGGACGAACCGAAGGCAGGGGTAGAAGAAGCGCCAAACGCCGGTGTGGAAGATGGGGTTCCGAATGCCGGAGTAGAAGATGGGGTAGCAAAAGAAGGGGTGCCGAAGGCAGGGGTAGAAGAAGGGGTTCCGAAGGCGGGGGTAGAAGAAGGGGTTCCGAATGCAGGGGTTGAAGAAGGGGTGCCAAAGGGAGATGAAGAAGGTTGAGCGGAGCCAAACATGGTGATGTTGTCAAAGCGACGATAGCTTGTGGAAAGAGCGAAATGGAAAATGAGATTGGTGTTGATTTGTCCCTCCCAAGTTCAAAGAAAAAAGCGCGGTCGAGTGCGTGATGCAGTGCAGACAAGGTGTTCGACGAAAGGTTTTATTTATTTATTTAATTTTCTTCTTTACATATTTTTTAAAGAGAGGCTCGTACTGATAGTGTATGATGACATATAAAATAATATTTATCAATATGTAATATGTAATAAAAAAAATCTAAGTAGGATTGATGCTTTCAATTCACATGCATTTTAAATTAAATTAAAAATACGGAATAATGCAATCTGTAAAAAAAAATAAAAAATAGTAAGAGTATGTATGCATTACTAGGTTAAAGAAAAAGTTGGCCCAACATCACATCAGACTAGAGCAATCATGTTTGGGCCAAATTAGGTTAGTCCAGACAATTTGAGTTTGATTTCAACTTGATTAATGATATTGTCTTCCTTCTATATCTCGTACTTTTTTCTACCATCCTCTGTAATATAAAAAATATCAAAGTATTTGTCAAAATAACATCTAGAAAACCAATTAAAAACTATATTTTAGACATCACAACCAACGTTTCAAAGTAATCTAAAACTACTTCAAATTACATAATTTCAAATACGGAATATACTTTCAAGAAATAATTCGAAAATATTTTAAATTGTCTCATCTAAAATATAATTCTGAAAAAAAATTTATAAATTATCTAATTACTAAGATAATAATTATAATTTTTTTAAAATAACAAATCAAAAAATCTTTATAGACAAATATTTAAGAAAGTATAGGAAATATGCTATTCAAACTATTTTATTTAAGTAGTAAAATTTAAATATAATACAACTTTATTAAACTCACCTGATGAAGTTTCTCCGTTGGCTTAATCATGTAATAATGAGTTCAAAACTTAATTTTTAATATGATATTACAAGCAGTCATAGTTTATCGTAGTTGAAATTACTTTATGTTATCAACATGAATATTAAAAATCCCAAATTAATTAAAAATAAATAAAATTATAATATACAGGTGAAGTTTAGCGAAATTAAGTTAAAGTAACATATAATATCAATATTTTAGTGAATAGGTGTGAAGGAACCGACATATCAGACCAAACTTGACTTTGGATAAATTTTTAGTGACTCTAAATTGAGATATTTTATCATTAAACAATGATATCTTATAATTAAAAAGGACTCTAAAAAAATAATTGTAGATGAGATGGAGGAAAAGAATGCAATTAGTGATTTCTATTTATTTATACATAAACATTTTAATATTGGGGAGGAGGGATATATAGCATATAAAAAGAAAACGGACAAATGCAGAATTTGTGCTTTTAACCTTTTTTTTTTATGAATGGGAACAAAAGCCTCAAAATAGTCAAGGGTTGTTAGGTGAGATTTGGATGAAAATGTTCTTTACATTATTCTTTCCTTTTGGATAAGAATAAAGAGACATCATGGAAAAAAATGTAATTTGTACTTGCATAATTTTTAGTTCTACTTTTATCTTTTATGGATTAATTTCATTAGAAAAAAAAGTAAGTAATTTCATATTTATATAATTCGATTTTTATATTTAATCACACATATGTTCAATTGTTTTTATTAAATACAAAATCTTATAAAGTAAAAACCAGACACACATTATATTAAGTTTACTAACTTGTAAGAAAATTATGAAAAATGATTTATAATTGATTGATGGAAAACCTTTTTATATGGGCAGTAAATTTTTAAAATTTGTATCTCTATCAAGCACTACTGAAGGATTCATGTGAATGGTATGGTTGAAATTCATTGGGTTGTCGCTGTCGTATCTGATATTTCAGCCAATATGCTCAACTTATTTCCGTCTCAGTCATAAAGTATTGGATAAAAAATTCTAAAGTTGTCACTTTTAACAAGCTAAAAAGTCCAAAACAGAACAACAAAGGAATAGCTCACCCACCACAGTATTAAATACTGCTTATAAAAGTCGATAATCACAAGACCAAGGGAATTAATCCTTCACACTCCAAAGACACAAAGGGCATTCATAAAATGATAATGCCAGAAGCCAAGTATCTCTATCAGTCACAGACAAGAAAAAACTCAACTAAAATTACATAAAATGTGAGGAACACTCACCTCAATAAGACAAGTTATTACATGTACGAGATCATGTTTTGCACCATGCGACATCAGCTCATGTAAACTCTGAGTCAATCTTAGTAAAATGCTGCTATACTCCAGCCAGAACATGGTTTCATTTCATGCCTTGATTGTTACACAATACAAGCACAAACCAGATGGCCTTATGTCACAAGTCCGCCACTCTGACCCCAGAGCTGCATTTGGATCATACGACAATGTTTGATGAGCATGTTCTGCCAGCAGAGGGAAGAGCAGCAACTTGCCATCCAGCATCCCGAACCGAAAACCAACACTGGTGCTCCCTGTCAATGGAACTGGAACCATTTCCCATGAATTGTCCTCTGGACTGAATATAGCCAGCTTCCGCTGGTTCTTCCATTCTATGCAGAACAACTTTTTTCCTACTACTGCATGAGCTGTGACCATAACACAGCCATTCTTAATCTCACACCAGGTGTGTCTCTCAGGGTTGTATATATCAACAAACTTGGAGTTTCCAATGGTGAAGCTTGACCTTCCACCCATGACATAGAGCTTACCCTCAAATCCACAAGCAAAACAACCCCATCTCGGACGGCGAAGGCTCTCTATCACTGTCCATTCGTCAGTATCTGGATCATACACCTCAGCACTGGACAAACTGTCTCCATTCTCCCCATAGCCCCCTACAGCATAAACCAAGCCATTCACTTCAGCACAAGCAAAGTCATAACGAGCCACATTCATGTTCGACAAACTGCTCCAGCTGCAATGGCAGAGTAGAGAATGGAGCAAGTCAAAACAACATTAAAACACACACAACTATATCTATGCCAAGTTTCATACAGTAACATAACAAACCTTTATGTTTCACAATTTCTAGGTAGAGTGCTTAAGGAAACCATACCTGTTGAGGCAGGAATCATATTGGTAAACCTCTGCTGAGGCAAAGGCAGTTCCTTCAATAGCTGAACAACCAGCCATGACAAGAAGCTTTCCATTAAGAACCACCACTCCAAATGCAGCCTTTTCTGGACCCGGCATTGGTGGAAGAGATCGGCATTTACGACCGAGACAATCCATAACCTCCCAATGACTTTCCTTTTCTTCACAGTCTCTTGTTAAGAAATAGAGCCATTCTTCAAGCATTCCAGCCAATTTTCGCACAGTAGTGAATGCTTTACTTTGAATAAACGATCTCCATCTCTTACAGACACCCCCCATAGCAGGGAAATTCGAACGAGGCACAAGTGCCAGACATTACTCGGCCACATCATCAGGCAGCCCAGGTAGAATTGGGCTATAATCTTCACTCAGTGCCTCCGAGAAGAAACAATTATCACTTTGTGAAAGAGTTGATTTATCTTGATCGGTCAAATTGGCGAAACACGTATTTGGCTGGATAAATCTCTTCTTTCCAACAGTAAGATCAGGCATTTTTTAAACCAGAAATTATACAGTAAATATCTAGAAGGTGTACAAGCTTTTAGTAGAGATCTTTCAACCAAATAGTGTGCAAATGTGTTGTTGAGAAGCATGTAATGTAACTAAAGAAATTCATAAAATCCTTCAACAATTGGGATTCTACGAGACCAAGGCATGAACGATGTTGCAGAACTAATCACTTGAGCAGTATGAGCAGATGATTTTCTATGCTTTGTCCAGTCTGATTCAAATTCCATAACAGTTATTATTCTGCTCCCACTGTGATTCTTCTTAATTGTTGTCTTCTGCAAATTGTTTGTTAAATTGCCTACGCTGTATCCTCCCTCACACATTGCCCAGATACCTATCCAATACGGCAAAGATGATCATGTTTTGAAGTCAAATGCAAAAACTAATTAAAGTTAATCAACAAAATTATAAAGGCATACCAGAGTAGGCCATAGAAGTTGCCGAGACTTAGCCACCGCAAACTTCCATTTTCTTCAAGTTCATATGGTCTGAATCAAACAGGACTTAGAACAGTTCACATAAGAATAAGAAAAAATTAAGTCATAAAAATCAATGAGAAAAAAAGGTTCAAAATCTGCAGATTCAAAATTGTAAATCGCAGTTATTTTTAATACAAATATTTACTTGAACAAGAATGCATATTAGATATTAGCATAACCCTTGATCTAAAAAAACAAAACTAACAAAGACAAGCTTCCAGTGTTTTCCACAAATCTCAGCCAGCATACAACCAAAAAGGATTCAACCAAATATTAATTACCTACAAATTAATATTTAAACTAACATGATAATGATAAATTTACCAGCACCTGTTAACTTTCTAAGATGAATAAGAGGAATCAAATATCCTATACTTGAAAAAATAAAAATCCAGAAGCACAGACAACCACCAGATCTGGAAATAACCAGCAGTTAACGATGTAATTCAGATTGTTTGAAAATAAACACAGTAGGCAAGAATCAGGAAGGGGAAATATTACAATCTATTTGTAAATTCAATTTGAGTTATAAAATGAAGCATCGCAACGCTCCAGAGCCTGATAAATTATACATACATGTATGTTTCAATTCAGAGAAACAACACAACAGATATAAATAAATAACATAAACAGATAGCAGCTCACAGAAGCTGAAAAAAGTTTGAGGAAAGGATTACAATACTCAAGCATGAAGGAAAAGAGTCAAATGTTGGTAGATCTGTAGTAGAGAAACGAAAGCAGAAGAATAGAACAGAACAAAAAGAAAAGGAAAGAGAGGAACTGACAAAAATAGAAGATCGAGATTCAGAAGAAAAGAAGCAGTGAAGGTGAATTCATAGAAACAGATAGAGTGTATGGAGAATGGATATGAGAAGGTGTTTAGAAGAAAGAGAATATTTATAGGATTAGGAAGAAAACTGTAGGAGAGAAAGACACTCACATAATGCGACCAAGTCAAAACCAGAAAATGGCAACGTAATGGAACCAAACCAAGCTTAGCCTGTTTGTGTTGGAAGAGGTTGTGGTCGTGTTCCGGAGTAAGAGGAAAATAGTTTATTTTATAGTGCCAAACAAACAGTAACGTCGTGTCGTAACATTTCTGGTGAAGATATTGTTACGCTAATTGATCTATCAATGGTGGTAAATGTTTCGTTGACAAATTGTTACTCTTTAGGTACATGTGTTTCATTTTATTCCTTGTTAATAATTTTCATTATGAATATAGAAAAAATAATATATATATATATATATAATAATAATAATTGATTAGCTGACCTCTTGCATTGTTGGTGATATGCACTATTCGTTTGTCTTTATCTTTTAAAAACTTCCCAAACTAGTTGTGGAGTGTAGTAAGTGGGTGGGCCATGTTTATAAAAAAGCGTGTTAAGAATTATTTTTTAAATATTAAATAATTAACGATATCCTTGAATGTGTAATTCATCTTTCAAGTTAGTTTTTCATAGAAATCTTTTTTTTTTCTAACTAATGCTCTCGTGGGCTAAAGATTAAAAATAAAATAAAATAAAATAATACTATTTTTTTTTTTACTTTGTGGAATTGTTAAAAACTACGAGTGTAGATATTTTTTTAATTTCTTAATAATCGAGTTACTTTTTTAACATTTAATAAAATTTTATTAATTTTAATGTTGTGTTTGATTTTAAGTGTTGTTTTAAGTGGAAATTGAAAAGGAATGAGAGTATGATTTGGTTAAGAGGATTTGGAAAGGTGAACTTTTACAATCTTTTAAAAGTTTTAAATTTCTTTTAATTTATTATATCCATCACATTATGTACAAAACTTTTATTTTTAATATATTCAAATCATAATATCTTTTTCTTTTCTTAATCAAAACATTTTATCTTCACTTTTAAATTTATTTAAATTCATTTTCTCAAATCTATCTCCATTCCAAAAACAGGAAATGAATAATTTTATATAGGACGTAGAAATTATATGCTTTTGTGATTAGTATTACGATACAACATTACCTTTTTAAAGTGTGATTTAAACTGTATCGTAATTTATATAAAAGTTATATCTATAACAAAAGTATTTAAAGAGCGCTTAATTCATTTCTTACTATTTGATTAAATAGGTAAAGTTGTTAAAATAAAACCGTTGAAATAAGTTCACTCTAACTGTTTTTGAAAAAAAAAATTAATAATATAAAATCTTAACATCAAAATCTCATTTCAGTGGGGAAAATGTTTATTTATACTATATGCATCAGTTAACAATTATGGATATTTTGATTATTAAAAAGTTAACTTTTATATTTATAAAAAAATTAAAAAAATTAAAAAAATAATAAATGTAAAAAATTGTTGAGTGGGAAAATAATATTATTCCATCAGTAACTTTTTAAAGTGTCAACGGACGACGAATGTTATTAACTCCAATTATTGCACCATTTGACCATAAAAACAAAGTAAGAGTAGCTTTGTATATTAAAAAATGGCTTACCTAAACTTTAAAATTTCAGAATTCCAATAAGTGCAATTATTCTTCACTAATCTGAATCTCTTGTAGATGCTTTACAACTTCATACAAACACAGACTTCATCTTATAAAGAAAAAAAAAATTAATTTCATATCCTTTTACACCAAGCAAAAATTATACCTATTAATTTTTTTTTTTATAATTTCCATATTTAGAGGAATACTAAGAACACTTTTAAGGTGTGTTCTGTATTGATAGAAACTGCCTACCATTTCAACCAGACAAAAAAGAGATTTCTTTATTAGGATTTTCTATGAAACACTCATACCTAAACGTTTTCTTTTAATATTTTTTCTGTTACAAATTAAATTGATTAAAACCGCCAATTTTAGTGAATCTCAATAAATTAAAATTAATAGAATATAAAATGCTTAAAAAGAAAGTGTTAAAGGATTTTTTTATATTTAATTTAACTTTCTCCTTTATATATATCGAAACATGTTAACCATGGAATGGACATTTTTAAGTGACAACAATTATGTAAAATAAAATTTTCTATCAGTGTTTCGAAAATGTTTTTAGTTTGTTGCGATTTTATTTATTCAATGATAGTAATAAAGCAAACAAAATAATTTCACCCGTAATACTATAAATTTTGTTTCACCAGAATTATTTCTTAGGTGTTACTATGATGAAAAGAAACACGAGACATCAGAACCTCTTATTTAATCATTCATTCTGTACGCTACTCGAAATTTGCATAAAACCATTGATATGATTAAGACAATCCATTTTGAGGTTCAATTCTGACAAATAACATATTCTGTCTGATTATATGTTGCACCAGAAACAGAACCAAAACAAACAAAGAATCATAGATATTTGGTGTGTTATTGGGACGTGCCACTAAATCAAAACCAGTGGCTCCGAGAATCTGAACAATGTCCGAATTTCAATGTTTCCCAGGTTAGGGCTTCAGCAATACGGGGCAACCTAGGCCTGCCACTGATTTCACGTGAACAGAAACCACACGTTTCGCAGTTGGATGACCCAAATTTTTTGATAATATTTTAATATTGTCTATTGTGTCATTATGTGATGTGGTCTATATTGGTGTTATGATTATTAGTATGATTATAAAATAATTGGGACCAATCACATAAGTAAGTAAAACAGTATATTAAATATTATTGTCAAAACAATTTGTTAAAGTATCATTTTCCTTAGCAGTTTGTGAAAGTTAAGTAAGATAGATTCAAGCCATTTTTTGCAAGTGACATTATATTGTACCTAGCATATTCAATATTTTTACATAGTTCAATAATCCAAATTAAAAATAAGTTAAATGTTTTTTCTTTTTAATCTATCAAACAAATTTTAAAACAAACATTAATTATAAAACAAATAATATTTTTAATATATGATAATACTATGCTGTGAATCTTGTTTAAGAAAAGACCATACGTGTCATCACACACGAAAAAAAATAATAGATATTGCGTGAGTTGAGAGCGGGGGCGGGTAACGTGGACACTGGTCAATGAAAAACAATAGAAATAATATACGAAGGAATGATGAGAAAGTGCATCGTGGAAATTGATTTTGCAAAAATAATGTGAGGGTTGGATAAAATAGGTTTGGCTTAGTAGAAAAAAAGACACTAAAATCGCGATGCAAGAAGCAAATGGATACAATAGATGAGATATTAGAAGATAGATAGATAGGATATAGATAGATATAGATATATATATATATATATAAGTTAGAAAGTTTTTAAACGTTGCTTCGATATATACATATAACAATGTTAGAATGTAATAAAATAGTTTATCCACTAAACTGTTAATTAGATTAAACAACTTTTCCACTAATAAAAAGGTTTGGAAAATAACTTAAAAGTCTTGTTAAACGTATCTAAGTTTATACATTCCAAGCAAAGTAATAATTTAAAGTAATCAATTGTTTCTTTATCGTTTGATTTGAACTAATTGGATGATACATGTACTTAAATATGAGTCTTTTCAAATTTTCCATTACAGTTTTTGTTTTTAAAAAAATATTTTAGTGAGTCAAGAGACAATTGTATATTTAATTATTTTTAATCGTGATTTTTAATGGAGAGATTATTTAAGAATGATAAAGATGAGATGTTTACTTTGTTGATCTGTTTTGGTCTGATCTGTATATTTTGTAACTCGTGTGTGACATTATGGAATGGATGAGTTGATATACATAATTTTAAATTGAAAAACTGACATTTTAATATTAAGTGAAAAGATAAAATGCATACCAACGGTGATTTATAATTATTATATTATGTAGATAAATATGTGGAATCTAACTGGTTATTATTTCAAATAGTGTTATTAATTCATGCAAAAAGTCCTAATAATACAATTGGAAAAAAACAAACATTAAAAGGAAATAATTGTTATTTTGTTTAGAATAAAATAATGGTTACATTTTATTTTTTACACAATTATGTTATGTGAGGTAATTAATAGGGTTAGATTTAGACCGCACCTGGAGAGGATAAGGGAGAAGGTGGCGAGGAGAGAGGGTGAAGCGGCAAATGGAAAAAATTACAAAGCAAGGAATTGAGGGAGAAAAAAAATGAAAAAAAGGGGTTGTATTTGTTATTTTATGTGGTGGATGAGGTGGTGTTTATATGTTGTGGGTTTTTGTTTTTGTTTAGATTTAATTTGTGTGGGGTTGGGTTGGGTAGACTAGGAGTGGGGAGTGGATGTGAGGGTAGGATGATGTATGTAGGTGTGAGTTTCAGTGGTGGTAGAAAAAATTCAGACGGTGTGGGATAGTGTGGGTTGAGTATTTTGATAAAAAAAGTGAATTTTGTGTAATAAAAAAAAAAAAAATGGGTGGAGGGATATTTTTTTTATTTTTATTATTAACTCTCCTAATCATGCTATATTTGTTTTCAAATAATTATTTGGAAATTAATGTCATGTCATATATTTTATTTATTTATTTTTAAAATTTAAAAACTAAAATATATTAAAATTTAAATTATAAATATTTTTTTTATAGAAATTCAAAAACTTTAAACATATTTAATCCTTGATTTAAAATAAAAAAATTAAAAAATAAATAATTTTTATGTAGACCGATACATAAACATACAAGTCAAATGTTACAGGGGATGAATTAAAAAAGATTAGCTTGAATTTCTTATAATATCGATTTATACTTTCTACATACCACATATCAAACGACGAAATTGTCACTCCTATTATTATTATTATTATTATATCTCTTATTTTATTTTATCTCTTACATAATCACTAAAATTCACGCTAACTATTAATTATAAAGTATAAAGAATTCCAAAGACATAATTAATTCGAAATCAAATTACAAATCTAGTGTACCAGAAAATAATAATTTACACTAAATTAATTATTATATTTCTATCACATCACATTCTCAAGAAAGAATAAACAAAAAGAGGTGGCCGCACTGGCAATGGAAAACTCGACGTCGTTTAAGAGATAAAGCGTTGTTGATAGACATGCCTAGAAGATTGAAGGAGAGGCAGTGTCGTTTTGTTTTGATGAGTATGGTTTTTAAACGTCGTTTCGATAAAGAGTG